TTTTCCCCTCCCTCCCCCACCTTCCCTCATGAACCCTTGATAATATATAAATTTTATTTTTTCATGTCTTACAGACTGATGTCTCCCTTCACTCACTTTTCTGTTGTCCATCCCCTAGGGAGGGGGCTATATGTAGATCATTGGGATCGGTTTCCCCTTTCTCCCCCAACCTTCCCCTTATCCTCCTGGTATTTCTCTTCTCATTATTGGCCCTGAGGGGTTTATCTGTCCTGGATTCCCTGTATTTAGGCTGGATTTTCTAGAGAAGCAAAATCAGTGATGCTTGTAGGTGTGTGGGTGTTGTTGTGATGAGGATATACATACATACACACATTTTTTGGTAGCTTCAAGGTCTTGTCTTCAGAAAATTCCTTTGGATCAGGGTGTTGTTCAGTTTTTTTTGCTTGTTGCTCTTGTTTTCTTTCATGTGGATTTAAATTGCTATCTCTGTGGCATTGTGCAACTGGTAGGGTTGGAAGAACTTCTGGATCTTGCAGTGGTACTTTTCTCTGTCAGGTAGTGCTAGAAAGGAATTAACAGGAGTGACACTGAAGGAGGAAGAAGGGCAACAAAAAAGGGGGAAAAGAGGAACAGTATGAGATAAAAAAGCAGTTTGAAACAAGAAAAGAAGAAAGAAGACAGTTGAGAAAAAAAGCAAAAGGGGGTAGGCTGTTACTTAGAAAAAAGAGGAAAAGGAGAAAGGGGGTAAAAAAGAGGTTCCATTTAGGAGCATTCTTCCTTTGGCCCAGTATCACACAGTCCACAGGCCTGTCTGGTTGGCCAGATGTGTGGGGCTTGTGTGGAAGCAGTGCCAACACCTCACATGTAGGTTTTCCCTTCCCTTGCCTTTATCTGCTCACTCCCACAGCCTGTGGTATGTGCAGGTTTCAATTTACCGACCTTTCAAGACCTTTTCTGAGATCTCCAGTCACCAGTCTTTTGTGTCAACATTCTCCTGGTTGTTGAAGAGAGATCCCTTCGTGTGCTTCTGTGTGCGTTCTGTTGGCCATCTTTCCATGGAAGTCTTTGCTCCTGATTCTCAGGGGAAAGGTTTTATTTTAGTCTTTCTCTATGACATAGGGTGTTAGTTTTGACCTTGGCATAACTTTCCTTCTTCAGATCTAGAATTTTTTCTTCTCTTCCTAATTTGTTATTATTTTATTATTAAAAGGTGTTGGATTGTGTCAAATGCCTTTCTGTAAGAACTAAAATAATAATTTGACTTTTTATTCTTTTTTTTCTTTATTCTTTTAAGGTGATATATATTGAATTGATTGACTTTCCGATACCAAATTAATCCTGGAGTAAATTTCCCTTGAGTATTGTGTGTAATCTTCTTAATGCACTGCTGTATTTGTTTTGATCGTATTTTACTGAAAAAAATATGTCTATATTAATTTGTAATTTGAATATTGATTTGTAATTTCTCTTTTCCTGTTGAAAAATGTACCAAAAAGTAAAGGAAAATAAAGATAGCTGATGGTGCCACTTCTATTTTTATGTATTTTGCCAATTTTATTAACATATAATTAATATATCATACATTGTAATAGTTCAATCATATTTAAGATAGTTGTGCAATTATCCCCACAATCAATTTCAGGACGTTTCCTCTTTCTTGTACTCGTGTTGTTAGCTCCCACTTCTTTCCAACTGCCCCTGCCACACCCATAGGGAACTATTAATCAAGTTACTGTCTATAGATTTACCTATCTTGGATTTCATATACAGAAAATGTAAACAAAAGCAACAAAAAAACCCAACAGCAACTACAGAGTAAAACAAAAAAACCTCAACAGAAAAGGAAGCAGAAAATATTAAAAACTGGAACAAATATGCATTGGCTCAAAAGGTAGATAAAATGATAGTTTTACCTAACTGTACCTGCAGTAATCCACCTTACTGATATCAAGATCATTTCTATCCGTGATCCATAGAGAGGATCACTGTAGGTTTAATCCATGTAGGGACCCTGCAAATTAATTTTGGGTTTCCATTGTCATCCATAGCCTTCTGCAAATTAGGGTGTTCAGAATTTAAGCTTTAATACCATTCCCTCCTCTGAATTTGGATTTTATTATTTACAATCCTTGGATCACACAGATTGGTATGCTTCTTCGGTGTGAACTTAGATGACCAACTCACTTAAATGGCTGCTTGTTTTAAGAGAAATCTTTAATACCACAGACTCTCTTCTTTCTGATAGTGAGTACCATCTGATTTCTTCACCATACTTTGCTATTAGCACCTATATCTTCACTGATCTCTTCATGAGAGCAAGTATCTGGCAGGGCCATGTCAGAAGAACAAATTGGTTTTAGATTACGGATATGATTAAGTGAGAGCTCAAAATCCATTCATATTTGTAACATTTATTTTATAAACATTTTTATATACCCCAAGGGAACCTATCTGATCAATACTTTCCTTTGTTAGGGTTTGTTTGTTTTTAATTACAGACTAAATCTCTTCACTTATTATTGGTCTTGATTATTTATTGATATAAAGCTCTTATACATATATGAATGTTACCGGTTTTGTTTCTCTATAAAACCCAGCTTATTCAGTGAGTTATGTTTTCATTTTAATTAATCTCAAGGTACAGTTGGCCCTCTATCTGCAGGTTCTATATCTACAGACAGATTTGACCAACTGTAGGTCAAAAATATATGGGAAACAAGTGGTGAAGGCAACCCCTCAAAGGCTAACAGAGTGTAAAAGCTATTTACATATAATTTACATTGTATTCATTATTAAGGAAATAATAGAGTTGACTTACAGTGTATGAGAAGTGGGCATACAGTATATGAAAACACCATACCGTTTTATAGAAGGAACTTGAGTAACTGGATTTTGTTATCTTGGGTACAGGAAGAGTAGGGGCCTGAAACCAAATGCCCATGAATAATAAGTGACAATTGTATTTTTAAATTTTGTGCTATTCATTCACTGTGGGGGAGCCAGGGAGTCATCAGGTAGGCAAAAATACACAACCACAATTTCTTGAGAACAAAGTTTCTATTTCTCCATCTGGTGCAAGTAACAGCATAGAGGTGAGGATAGGGGATGGTAAACTATAGTAGCCTTTACTATGTGTGCAGTCAAAAAAGTTGATTTATAGGTTTTCTTGGGGGGGAGGGGAGCACAGACAGCTCATTACTTTGGAGAAGGTATATAGGTTTTTGCATTTGAGGTAGGGTTTTTCCCTTCTCCTCTACTTTTGGTGATAGCACCTGGGTGGCTGAATGTTTGCTAAAGAAATCAGAAATCAGTCACTTCTTTAAAAACAAGAGGCTGGGAGCCAGAAACCCTCTTTGGGAACTTGAATATATATACTTTCCAAAACTAGGGGCTCAGTATGGTTTACAAAATGAGAGATTACTACCCCCGTCCCCCTTATGAAAGAGTTGTGCTAGTATATTTAGAAAAGACTTTATTTTGTTTTTGGTAAAATTTTGCACAGTAAATGGGGTTGTTGTGAGGCGGGGAGACCTTAACATAGGCCAGAGAGCCAGAAACAAGTAGATGTACACATGATCATGGCTTCATGATGGGCAAGGGGGGTGACTTTTTGGCTGTACTGTTTTCCAGGTGGGGACAGTGGGAGACTGGCTATCCCAGGGCAACAGAGGATCTGAGGCACTTAGGTATAATTCCTCCTGGATGAAATTCTACTTTAGTGGGTTCTGAATTATTATAACATGATTATGGTAGCTTTGTCCCATTGGCTCCTCATACACCAAATATCTGGACTTCTGGTACATTTTTCACAATGTGTCAGAACCCTCATTAATTCTATTCTAGATGTTACATTCCCTATAATCTGGTTTGCCTCTCCCCTTATACTAAAATCTTAAATTCTAAGAGAACAATTATTATCTTCAAGATATAGTATTGTGGGTGGTTTTCTTTTCCCTCTTATTTATTTTGAATTGCTGCATTTTCAGAAAGTAGACAATGACTATAAGTTACTTTTAGTTTTACCTTCTCAACCTCACAAGAAATGCATGAAGACAGAGTCATAGTAAAAAATTCAAAAAATCACTTAAGGTCAGCATCATCTTTAACCATTCCCCAAGCCCCCAATACACCATCAGTGGCCATTATCATGAGTTTAATGTCATGCTTTCAAGTAATTTTTTGATGCATTTGTAAAGCCATTTTCAACCATTTATATTAATATATCTGTTGCAGATTTGTTTTGTTCATTTTCTTTTTTTTTTAACAGCACCGCCTGGGTTTATTTGTACAACAAACAGTACAAGACACCAGCGCCAAGCAGGCAGCAGCCCAGGGCTCACACCAGTCCCTCTCGCCCTCACACAGAGAACTCTACTTTGTGGGCGCCTGGGCGCCTTTGGGGCCTTGAGCTGGGGCCGGGACGCCTTTGGGAGATTTTGCTGGAGTCGTGGCCTTGGCTGGAGCGTCAGCCTTGCTTTGTGCCTTGGCCTTGGGCCGGCAGCGCCTCAGACCCTTGGCAATACATGCCCCAGCCCGCTTGCCAAGCTTGGGGTGGGCAATGTAGGGCAGTCGGCTGAGCTTGCAGTTGACGCCCATTGGGATCTTGCCCTTGACCTCTGTGGGCTTCACAAGATCCTTGACGGCCTTGGCGCGAGCAGCCCCAGCCTTGGCGTTGTTGGCCTGCATTTTCTTTTTTTTTTTTTTGACCTGCATTTTCTTCAGGCCCTTCTTGGTGTGCTTCTTGGCGAAGCGCATGTTCCTCAGAAACTTGGGGTCCACCCCCTTAAGAGATTCGTATCGTTGTGACCAGGGTTTTTCAATGTCGTTTCTGTGCCATTTCTGGGATTGGTTGCACGTGGCGTGGTTCTTGGACTTGGCCATGTCTGCACCTATGCCTGCAGCTCCCGGAGCGCCAGGGACCGAAAGAGAGAGAGCTTGTTCATTTTCTTTAACAGTATCGATCTGAACAGTAGTTAACTGGGTCAGGATTTACAAACTGTCAACAACAAATCAAAACCAGACCCAGAACAAAGAATCATTGATGTGAACAAGGAGGGCGGGGGACAGGAGGCGAAGTACAGACCCAATGCCCATCTGTAGACAACTGGACATCCCCTCAAAGAAGGGTCACAAGGAAGGGATGAGCCAGTCAGGGTGCAGTGTAGCACGGACAAAACATACAACATTCATCTTGTTCTTTAATGCTACCCCCCTTCCCACTATCAACCCCAATTCTACTTTACAAATCTGGCTAGACCAGAGCATGTACACTAGTACAGATAAAAGCTCTTGACACAGGGAATCCAGGACAGATAACCCCCTCAGGAAAAATAATGGGAATAGTGATACAATGAGGGTAGGGGGAGAAAGGGGGAGCGGATCACAATGATCAACGTATAATTACCTCCCTCCCCTCCCCAGGGGGATGGACAACAAATGTCGGTGAAGGGAGACAATGGTCGGTGTAAGATATGAAAATAATTTATAAATTATTAAGGGTTCATGAGGGAGAGAGTGGAAGGAAGGTAGGAAAAAATGAGCTGATATCAAGGGCTCAACTAGGAAGAAAATGCTTTGAAAATGATGGCAACATATGTACAGATGTGCTTGACATAATGGATGTATAGATTGTTTTAAGAACTGTAAGAGCCCCCAATAAAATTATTTAATAATCATTAAAATTATAAATGTTATAAACTGTATAATAATTAACAATCTATAATCTATCAAGGGGCGATGAGGGCTGGGGGTAAGGGGAGGAGGGGAAAAAAAGAGGAGCTGATTATAAGGGCTCAATGGAAAGTAAATGTCTAGAAAAGAACGATGGAATATATGTATTAATATGTCGGATAAAATTGATGTATGAATTGTAACAAGAGTTGTAAGAGCCCCCAATAAAATGATGTAAAAAATAAAAAAAATTTTTAAAGAATAAAATACTATGGCCCACCTATATACTCAATGTAGCATCTTTCCTTTTCAACACCACAGCCCCAGGAGGTCACAAATATACTTTTATTTCTATAGAATTCATATTTCAAATCAATGGTATTGTGTCAAAAAAAATGAAAATCAATAGAAACACGATTTAGTCATTTAGATTTTAAAAATCATATTGTAAATTAGTAGCATGGTAAAGCATTGTCCAAAAGAATCTGTTTGAGCCAATTCGAATGAATATAAATTTTAAAACACATTTCTATGTCAGGTTATGGTACAGAAGTCACGACCAAGTCCTTCCCTCATCTCCAAACGAGGATTTGTATTTAGAATTGTTTTCACGCCATTTGGGAAGAAAAATGTGGCATTCAATTATATTTTAAAATACTACCTTTGAAGCACATTAGGATTTTTAAAAATATTCTTTCTGAACGATTTTAAAAGAAAAAATTTTAAAAATCTAGTGTTTTATTTAAAGATTTCCAGAGTTTGAGTGAATTTGGACAAAACACTGTATTTTGGAAGAATAATCTGGCAAAGGACTTGGAGTGTGAGGAAGAAAAGTAGTTACAGCAGCAGTAAGATTTACCCATTGAAACTCGCCTTTCGATCTCATGACTGCTGCTTCCAGGAGCATTGATTGTGGATCCAAGCAAGATGAAATCCTTCACAATTTCAACCTTTTCGCCATTTATCATGTTACTAGTGGCCTAGTTGTGAGCTGTAATCCATACTGAAGGCTACATAGTCCTTGATCTTCATCAGAAAGTGCTTCAAGTCCTCACTTCAGCAAGCAAGGTTGTGTCATCTGCATCCCGCATTAGTAATAAGCCTTCCACCAATCCTGATGCAACATTCTTCATATAATCCAGCTTCTTTGATGATTTGCTCAGCATACAGATTGAACCTGTCCTGATTTTAAACCCTTGTTGTGTTTACACAACTGTATCTTGATCCATGTAAGTTCTGTATGAGCACAATGAAGTGTTCTGGAATTCACATTCTTAAGGTTATCCACTGTTTTTTATGGCCCACAGTCCAGGGGTCCTCAAACTATGGCCTGTGGGCCACACACGGCCCACCAAGGACATTTATCCAGTCTGTCGGGTGTTTTTGCCCCGTTTGTTTTTTTACTTTAAAATAAGATGTGCAGTGTGCATAGGTATTTGTTCATAGTTTCTTTTTAAACTATAGTCCGGCCCTCCAACGGGTTTGAGGGACAGTGAACTGGCCCCGTTTAAAAAGTTTGAGGACCCCTGGTCCACACAGTTGAATTCCTTTGCAGAGTCAATGAAACACAAGTAAACATCTTTCTGGTATTCTTTCCTTTAAGCCATGATCCATTTGACATCAGGAATGATATCCCTTCTTCTATGTCCTCTTCTGAATCCATCCTGAACTTCCAGCAGTTCCCTGTCGATGAACTGCTGCAACCATTGTTGGATGATCTTAAACAGAATCTTAATTGCATGTTTATTTCTGGGTTTCTTATTCTGTTCCATTGTGTATAAGCATCTTATCATTGCACGAGTCCCAGGATTTGAGGTGGGGCAGTGTGAGGGCTCCTACTTTGTTCTTTTGAAGGCGTTCTTTGTTTATTCTGGGTCTCTTCCCTCTCCATAAGAAGTTTGTAATTAGTTTTCCCATTTCTTTAAAGAATAATGTTGGAATTTGGATTCAAGTGCATTATGTTTATAGATGACTTTAGGTAGTGTTAACATTTTCACAATGTTAAGTTTCTATCCATGTTGAAGAAGAGTGGTAATAGGGGGCATCCTTGTCTGCTTCCCATTCTTGTGGGAAAAGTTTTCAGTTTTCAACTATTAAATATGATGTTGGCCATTGTTTTTTTTTAATTTTTTGTATATGGCCTTTATTATGTTGAAGAATTTCCCTTCTATTCCTATTTTTAGTGTTTTTATCAGAAATGAGTGTTGGATAGTCTCATGCCTTTTCTGCATCTATTGCTATGATTATGTGGTTCGTATTCTTTGTCTTGTTTATATGGTGGATTATATTGGTTGCTTTTGTTTGTCCTGTTTTGGATCTTTCTTGCTTTTTTATTAACGCATTCATCTTATGAATGGAAGGTCCAAATGTCAAAACTTGAAAGTGACAAAACAAACAAGTACAAACATTACAGTATTTTATCTCCTCATTTATTAACCAGCTAGTCACCTTAGCAACAGAGGTAGAGTCTCGTTCCCCTAACAGCGTAGTTTTAAAAGTTGACAAGACCACCATTCCCTAAGTAAGGCCCAGCTCTGATCACTGACTTGCTGATTCTTTATCAGCTACGGGACTGTTGTCAGTGTTTCTGAAGTAGAACATAACCAGATGTCCACACTAATTATTTCAAACCTCCTTTATAAAGAAAAAATATATATCCAAAATTCCTTTAGAGTAAAAAATGTGTAAGTAACACCCAGAGGGTTGTACCACCAGCATTTTCGGGTTGTTATTAAGCTCAATATTAAATTTGTTGTGTGAGCTGTTCTGCATCGGAGAAGCTAGAGAAAGGGATTTGGGTTATCTCAGCTTTCTCTTCCCAATTTTCCAGTGGGCCTGCCACAATTCCAATGTTCACTGAAAAAAAGGTTGCTATAAAAACTGAGAAGTCGAGATCCCCTTGCAGAGGGGTCTCGGGGAGGAGATGAGCCAGTCAGGGTGCGATGTAACAATGATGAGAAATACAACCTTCCTCTAGTTCCTAAAGGTTTCCTCCCCGCTCCCACTACCATGACTCGAATTCTATCTTGCAAGACTGGCTAGACCAGAGGAGGTACACTGGTACAGATAGGAGCTGAAAATACAGGGAATCCAGGATGGATGAGCCCTATAGGACCAGTGGTGTGAGTGGCAAAACAGGGAGGGTAAAGGGAGAATGGGTGGGAAAGAGGGAACCGATTACATGGAACTGTGTGTGACCTCCTCCCTGGGGGACAGACAACCGAAAAGTGGATGAGGGGAGAGGTCGGACAGGGCAAGATATGACAAAATACCCATTTGTGAACTATCAAGGGCTCGTGTGGGAGGGGGGAGCGGGGAGGGAGGGGAAAAATGAGGACCTAATGTCGGGGGTTTGGATGGAGAGAAAATGTTTTGAGAAATGATGTACAAATACGCTTTACACAATTGATGTGTGTATGGATTGGGATAACAGTTGTATGAGCCCCTAATAAAATGTTTAAAAAATAAAAATAAAAAGAAAAAGAAAAAAGAAAAAAAAAACAAAAAACAAACAAACTGAGAAGTCAAAGTCAATCATAGAATTAAAACATTTCCGCTTGAATTAAGTAAAACAAACATCTGAATAGTGTTAGGTGAGCTTGGGAGTCACCTGAGAATAAATGTGGTACTTTGCTGGTGGGGTGGGGGCAGTGGTGTTCTGAACTCCAAAGCACATCGCACCCTGATCCCTAGCACTGCCGGCGTCGGGAGGTAAGCACCTCGTTAGTTACATGGACACATCCCTCTGCAATCCTCAATTTCTAGGACCAGGCCACTCTGGATAAACGTCTGCAAACAAGGACGTGGGTGAGGGAAACAGACTCCTCGAAAATGTCACTGCCTAGCAAGAGAGGATGTCACGTTTGTCAGGTCCTCGCCTGGAGGTCCCCGCACTCCTTCTGCAGGGCCTACTCCTCCCCCAGCGCCTGGTCCACCTGGTCATCCGTGAGCACCACAGGCTGGTGCTTTTCATCGAAGAGCTGCTTGTTGGTCTCAGAGCGCAGGTGGTGGGGCCCCACGACGCGCAGGTGCACCGGCAGGTGCTGGAACTCGTCATGGATGTAGCAGTCTCGAATCCGGAGCCCAGAGCCCACCAGCGGCCCACCAAGCCCACGTCCAGTATCCGGCCCAGGAAGTCGGCCGAGCAGGGCTGCAGGTGGTGGCAGCGGGCTTGGCAGAGGCCGGCCTGGACATCCACGGGCGCCTCGGAAACAAGCCACAGGAGCCTCGCAGCCAGAGCGGTCGCTGCCTGCAGGCTTGGGCGGCGCGGTTGCACATGACGGGCGCCAGCAACATCAAGGTGCCTGAAGCATCGAGCAGCGCCTCCTCGAAGGACGCCTCGCGTGGCCCCAGCGCGCAGCACGCTGCCGCTCCGCCCCGCAGGCAGCGCGGCGCACACGACCCGAGGGCCGGCTGGCCTCGGGTGGACGCCGCCGCGTCCCGCAGGCCTCGGCAGCCCCCGAGCAGAGAGCGGACCGGAAGCCCAGACGCGCCCACGCGCCCCTCTGGCGCACAGCGTCGCCCCTTCCCCGCGGCCTCAAGACCAAAACCTTCTTTGAGCGGCCGCCACCCTCCTCTTCCGGCCTGGCGTCCGTTCTCGCGAGAGAAACGCCGGATACAGGAAGCAAAAGGCCCGGAAGTCTTCCAGGCGACCTCCACGACCGGTGGTTTTGTTTCTACATGTTGAACTATCCTTGCATCCTTGGTATGAATCCCACTTTTAAGGTAAGCAGACATCCCGCTTTTGGCGGGACAATCTCGATTTTTAACAATTTTGCCCGCGTCCCATGGCGTTTTTAAAAGGTCCCGATTTTTGGAAAGAATGCACGACAAGCTAGGGTATACGGTTTTCGGCTGCCATGTGGCTATTTTGCCAGGATATGAGTTTTATCAATGGTGTCCCGCTTTACCAATGTTAAATCTGGTCACCTTACGGTTGTAGTGGGGAAAAAAAGTTTTTTCGCTGATATGTTGTTGGATTCCATTGGCCGTAGTTTTTGAGAATTTTGGCATCTATGTTCAAAGGGTTGTTTTCTGCCTTTGTAGGGTTTTTGCTTGGTTTGGGTATCAGAGTTATGAATGAGTTTGGGAGTTTGCTGCCCCTTTCTATCTTGTGGAATAGTCTGTTTAGATTGGTGACACCTCTTCATTGAATATTAGGTCCTGAGCTTTTCTTAGTTGGAACTTTCTTGATGTTTTCTGTTTCTTCTTTTGTTATGGATCTGCTGAGGTTTTCTACATTCATCCATGTTGATTTGAGTTGCTGGTGTATGACTAGTTGTTTGTCCAGCTCTTCTACATTTGCAATCTTGTTGGAGTAGTCTTTCATAGCACTGTTATTTCATTTGAATCTGTTCTGATGTTACCTCAAATTTCATCTCTAATTCTAAATATTTGCATCTTCTTTTCCTAAATTTGCCAGCAGTTTGTCAGTTTTGTTAATCTTTTCAAGACCAATTTATCTTTTTTATACCCCACCACCACCACCATTTTTTTTTCTGTTTTCCAGTTCATTTATTTCTGCTCTAATCTTTATGATTTCTTTTCTCCTGTGGTTGAGGGATTAGGTTTTGCTCTGACTCTAATTGTGGAAGGTGATGTGTTAAGGTATCAATTTTTGTGGATGGATGGATGGATTGTGATAAGAATTGTACGAGCTCCCAATAAAATGACTTTTTTAAAAAAAAAGGTATCAAGTTTAGAATTCTATTTTTCATTTGTGCATTGATTGATATAACATTGTTCTCTGTTAACTGGTTTTGCTATATCTCAAAAGTTTTGATATGATGTGTTCTTGTTCTTGTGTCAAGGAATTTCTTAATTTCATCCCTTATTTTATCTATTACCCAATATTTTAAAGTTGTATGTTGTTCAGTCTCTATGTGTTTGATGTTATAGTCTTCTTCTACTATTGATTTCCAGTTGTATAGCATTGCGATTTGAGGAAATGTAGACTGTCAATGTTTTTTAATTTGTTGAGGCTTGCTTTGTGACCTAACATGGCAACTATTCTAGAATATGTACTGGGGG